CACACAGTGGGCTTTTTCAAGTCACACACAGAGAGGAGACGTCTAGAAGACGCCTCCATTAATCTTTGCATCTCGTTAGTCTCCCAGAGTCAGTAAGTCAGTAGAGAGGAGACGTCTAGAAGACGCCTCTTGCTTGCTTTCCACAGTTAAGACGCTTGTGGGTTTAGCTGTTAGTTATGATTATAATAATATCAACATTTAAAACTGGACAGACAGGTGGTGGTGTCTTAGGTAACAGCAGCATTTCTTGATACGAGTCCTCATCGGATATCTTGCTAAGTGACTCAGCAACCATGTCATGCAGGTACTGGGTATCAGTGACTCAGCAACCATGTCATGCAGGTACTGGGTATCAGTGACTCAGCAACCATGTCAGCAGGTACTGGGTATCAGTGATTTCAGCAACCATGTCATGCAGGTATGGGTATCAGTGACTCAGCAACCATGTCATGCAGGTACTGGGTATCAGTGACTCAGCAACCATGTCATGCAGGTACTGGGTATCAGTGACTCAGCAACCATGTCATGCAGGTACTGGGTATCAGTGACTCAGCAACCATGTCATGCAGGTACTGGGTATCAGTGACTCAGCAACCATTCATGCAGGTACTGGGTATCAGTGACTCAGCAACCATGTCATGCAGGTACTGGGTATCAGTGACTCAGCAACCATGTCATGCAGGTACTGGGTATCATCAGAGATATAACATTCTTCCCAGTGTATACATAACCTCGAAATCAAGACCTAGGATAAAATTTACGGTTGGGAAATCCTGTGTTAAGGTGAGAAGTTCTGGCTCTCAGAATTCTACAGCCAATAACCAACACCCATTAATTTTATCATTAAATCTATGACAAGAATTGTTTTCTCTTTTTCGTGCTTTTCAGTTGTGCCATTGTTACCTGTTACAAAGTTTATGGTGCAACTTTCACCCAACTACCGTGTACCTGTCCAGTCCGCTATTCAAACTGTCCAAAGGACTTTCCTAAATGACGCTCCTTGGCAGTTTGTTCCACTTATCTGCGACTCTTATTGCCAAACCAGGTTTCCTGTAAATACTGCTTTAAATACCTCGTGGCTTAAGTATGGGGTGTACCCAGAACCCACCTTCACGTGGTCAGTTCTGGGTATTTTGGATGACCGTAGTTAATTATGCAAGGCATCTGAGACCTGCTCACACTTAATATATTGCCTGGGTGATCAGGCCCTGATCCACCGGGAGTCCTGGGTGAGGACCGGGCCCCGGGGGCATTGATCCCTGGAACGACCTCCAGGTAGACCCCAGGATATGGGGTCAGAATATAATTAAATCCCAGTTCACCAGGCGTTGTACGATCCACACATGGGTGAGTCACGTGTGTCAGTGTTGCTAACGCATGGGTGAGTCACGTGTGTCAGTGTTGCTAACGCATGGGTGAGTCACGTGTGTCAGGTTGCTAAAGCATGGGTGAGTCACGTGCGTCAGTGTTGCTAACGCATGGGTGAGTCACGTGTGTCAGTGTTGCTAACGCATGGGTGAGTCACGTGTGTCAGTGTTGCTAACGCATGGGTGAGTCACGTGTGTCAGTGTTGCTAAAAGCCAGGGTGAGTCACGTGTGTCGTGTTGCTAACGCATGGGTGAGTCACGTGTGTCAGTGTTGCTAACGCATGGGTGAGTCACGTGTGTCAGTGTTGCTAACGCATGGGTGAGTCACGTGTGTCAGTGTTGCTAACGGGTGAGTCACGTGTGTCAGTGTTGCTAACATGGGTGAGTCACGTGTGTCAGTGTTGCTAACGCATGGGTGAGTCACGTGTGTCATGTTTTCTAACGCAAAGGGGGAGTCACGTGTGTCAGTGTTGCTAACACATGGGTGAGTCACGTGTGTCAGTGTTGCTAACGCATGGGTGAGTCACGTGTGTCAGTGTTGCTAACGCATGGGTGAGTCACGTGTGTCAGTGTTGCTAACGCATGGGTGAGTCACGTGTGTCAGTGTTGCTAACACATGGGTGAGTCACGTGTGTCAGTGTTGCTAACGCATGGGTGAGTCACGTGTGTCAGTGTTGCTAACGCATGGGTGAGTCACGTGTGTCAGTGTTGCTAACGCATGGGTGAGTCACGTGTGTCAGTGTTGCTAACACATGGGTGAGTCACGTGTGTCAGTGTTGCTAACATGGGTGAGTCACGTGTGTCAGTGTTGCTAACACATGGGTGAGTCACGTGTGTCAGTGTTGCTAACACATGGGTGAGTCACGTGTGTCAGTGTTGCTAACGCATGGGTGAGTCACGTGTCAGTGTTGCTAATGCATGGGTGAGTCACGTGTGTCAGTGTTGCTAACATGGGTGAGTCACGTGTGTCAGTGTTGCTAACATGGGTGAGTCACGTGTGTCAGTGTTGCTAACACATGGGTGAGTCACGTGTGTCAGTGTTGCTAACACATGAGTGAGTCACGTGTCAGTGTTGCTAACACATGAGTGAGTCACGTGTCAGTGTTGCTAACACAAAGGTGACATCGACTCGTGGCTGAGGGACTGATTACCCCAAACTCCTCATCTCCCACCGATCTCTTTATTGGACTAAAGAGGTCACTGTGTAGCGATGTTTTCTTAATAAAGATTCCCAGATGTTGCACAAGTTGCACCCATGTCGGTTTTCTAAAACTTTTAAATCATATTACAAATTATCTCGAGAGAAAACGGCACTTCACTTACATCAGAGAAAACGGCGCCAAGTGAAGGGTAGACTCGCAAAATTCAGAGCAGTACTATATGTTGATGGTTAAGACACATGTGCCACAGTTAAGTGTGTGGAAAGAGACACTTATGCACAGTTCAGGACATTTATTAAAGGCTAGTGTCTTTTTCCACATCTTGTCGGTATCACCTTACCATTTCACAGTTAGGTATCTTTCCTTGTCATCTCGAGGGACGTCCCTTGAAGGGCCCTTGATCCAGTAAATTGGACTTTCTTCGCCCTTCCATGGGCGGAAGAACACTACAGTAGTCCTACTGGCCCACACAAGGCAGGTCCTTCTCAAAACCATCCATTCTCAGCAAGTATTTGTTCTGCCTTTCCTAAAGCTACTCAAGAATGAGAGAGATCAGACAAATATATGAGTGTTAGGTAAGACACATATGCAACAGTTAGGTATCTTTATTATGAAACGTTTCGCCTACACAGTAGGCTTCTTCAGTCGAGTACAGAAAAGTTGATAGAAGCAGAAGATACTTGAAGACGATGTAATCAGTCCATCACCCTTAAAGTTTTGAGGTGGTCAGTCCCTCAGTCTGGAGAAGAGCATTGTTCCATAGTATGAAACAATATTGTTTCAGACAACAGAACAATGCTCTTCTCCAGACTGAGGGACTGACCATCTCAAAACTTTAAGGGTGATGGACTGATTACATCGTCTTCAAGTATCTTCTGCTTCTATCAACTTTTCTGTACTCGACTGAAGAAGCCTACTGTGTAGGCGAAACGTTTCGAAATAAAGATACCTAACTGTTGCATATGTGTCTTACCTAACAATCTGTCGGTATTTTATACCATTTTAATGTTCAAATATATGAGTGTGAAGGGTTGGGTGTGATGAGGATTTGAGAGACTGAAGTTAACTTAATGGGTATCTTTGGGAATTGGTTGGACAAATATATAGGTGGGAGAGGTTAGTATGGGGCCAGTAGGCCTACTACAGTGTGAGAAATGGTATGGTAATACCGACAAATTACATGAATCCATTTTTGTGTAATTTCCTCCAGGCTCTGCCCTACCCCTGTGTGCTTAGAGCTTAACCTTGATTCAAAAAATAAGTCATGCGAGATTACTCGATGCTGAAGAACAGATGGTGTCAAAACTGGTTTAGAAACCCAGTTTTGACATCTTACACATAAGTATAATTACAAATGCAAAGTCATGAAGATCGGGGAAGGGCAAAGAAGACCGCAGACGGAGTTCAAGGTGAAAGATCTTGGGGCGAGTATAACACCGAGTACGTCTCTGGAAGCACACATCAACCAGATAACTGCTGCAGCACATGGGTGCCTGGCAAACCTGAGACTAGTGTTCCGATACCTTAGTAAGGAATCATTCAAGACACTGTACACCGTGTAAGTCAGACCCATACTGGAGTATGCAGCACCTGTTTGGAACCCATACTTGATCAAGCATGTCAAGAAATTAGAGAAAGTGCAAAGGTTTGCGACAAGGTTAGTTCCAAAGCTAAGGGGAATGTCCTATGAAGAAAGGTTAAGGGAAATCGGCCTGACGACACTGGAGGACAGGAGGGTTAGGGGAGACATGATAACGACATACAAAATACTGTGTTGAATAGACAAGGTGGACATAGACAAGATGTTACAGAGATGGGACACAGATACGAGGGGTCACCCTTGGAAGTTGAAGACTCAGATGAGTCAGAGGGATGTTAGGAAGTATTTCTTCAGTCATAGAGTAGTCAGGAAGTGGAATAGCCTAGCAAGTGAGGTATTGGAGATAGGAACCATACATAGCTTTAAGATGAGGTATGATAAAGCTCATGGAGCAGGGAGAGAGAGGACCTAGTAGCAGGGCCAGGAGCTGAGTCTCGACCCCTGCAACCACAATTAGGTGAGTAGGTGAGTACATAATTACAATTATTGTACCTAGTAACATGTGTGAATTACCTAGGTCCTTGGGTAACCCAGAAAAGACAGACAAGGTGACTTATTTCCATTGGGGCCCTTGTAGTATCTTATTTAAAGCCCGGCTGTAAGTTTCAGTAGAAATTATCCATGATTATAACCTTAAAAATTAGAACAGATAAGTAACTCAACTGTTCGAGCTTCACCAAAATAATGCAGCTTCAAGAAAAGTGACCTAGCCTCCCTGTCCACTCTCCTCTCCTCTCCTCTCCTCTCCTCAAGTGAGACCGTCATCCCTAAGCCCCTCCTTAATAGAATTTCTGGAGCTGCCGCTTACGTTAATTTCCCGTTGAAGTTTCCTCTATACTGTATTATCATGAGTAACTTGCTTTTCCTTGGTGCAGGTATGTGTTGTTTGCCCAGTGTGTGTGGGGTGTCATCATCCTGGGCGGGAAGGAGTTTGATTGGCTGGGGCCCAGGGTAGCAGGAGGTGACCTCTCTCCACCTACTGTAATATAAAGGTGAAATGAATTGCCACTCCTTCAGCCTCCTCCTTGATAAAAATTTAAATACTACACCTCGTGTACAAAAGTTTTGGCACCACTGTATTCTTGTACTCCATTTTGCACATATTGAGTAACCTCTCTCCACAGGACACAAATGCAACTAATGCAACATTCTATTGTGGCAATGTTTCACTCTCCAGGAGCTTTGTCAAGCTGTTACACACAATACAAGGATACAGAGGGTACATAGAGGTATAGTGTGTCCCTGTATTGTTTGTAATGGCTGACAAAGCTTCTGGAAAGCTAAACGTTGCCACAATAAATTGTTGCATTTGTGTCCTTTTACTGTGGAGAGATGTTTATCAATATGTTCAAAATGAAAATACAAGAGTATAGTGTCTTTTTACCTAACATATTGTTGGTAATTCTACTAACGTTATTACAATCTCTCCACAGACTATACTCTAGCTACCTTCCTATAGTTCACCTCATTTTTCATACTCTCCAGTCAAAACATTCACTCCCAAATGTCCAAATACATTTACGTCATGCATTTTTCCTGATTCCAGTCATAAGTTTAATATCTTTATTATACACCCATCCTGTGGGACAGAGGCACATAATGGGTCCAGGGCTTCCAGTCGGATGTCCAGTTTTTCATTGATTGCCTACTAGATTATTTATTGAAGCCCTAAACCCATGTAGATTATTTGTCACAAAGTGGTGAAGGCTTGATTCTCAGTTTTCTAATCTCAAGGCATCATTCAATATATATTCACTTATTCCCTGCCCCCCTCCCAATACCAAGTAAAAGTGACTCAAGAAATCGTAATGACACGATTGCAAACAAACCATACCCTCGGCCGGGATTGAACCCGCGGTCATAGAGTCTCAAAACTCCAGCCCGTCGCGTTAGCCACTAGACCAGCTAGCCACAATAAGATTCATCCAACTAGGTATATTTCTACACCATAGGAAGGTTAGCACAGGCACCTCTGTGACCACAAATGCAAGTTTTTACAGACGGCCACGCTAGCTGGAGATTCGTCTGTCTTGAGCTAGAGTTCGTCACGGCCACGCTAGCTGGAGATTCGTCTGTAAAAACTTGCATTTGTGGTCACAGAGGTGCCTGTGGTAACCTTCCTATGGTGTAGAAATATACCTAGTTGGATGAATCTTATTGTGGCTAGCTGGTCTAGTGGCTAACGCGACGGGCTGGAGTTTTGAGACTCTATGACCGCGGGTTCAATCCCAGCTGGGGGTATGGTTTGGTTTACCAAGTAAAAGTAATGGTAATAGTAGAATATTCACTAAGAGTGCTAAACTCATTTAGGTCACTCAGCACTAAAAGGAAGGAAATTCTGTAAGAGAAATATATTTGGAAACTAATAAATTTCAGAGATTTCAGAACTTAAAATCCATTGCAGTACGGTAATTAATGTATTTTTAAAAAAGTTTTTTTTTTTACAGGATGGCGAGTGCATACCCAGGTGGACTGGGCAGTGCCAAGGAGCGGTTGGATGGGCTTGGGCCGACTGGGCTTGGTGGATTGGGTGGAGGTGGGCTGGGCGGACTTGGTGTGGCGATGTCGATGGCTAGAGGCATGTCTACTGGAGATAGATTAAATATGGGTAATAACAATAGTGGAATGGTGTGTCCATTATGTCGCAGTAGCTTGGAGGATGCTCGTGTACTGCCTTGTCTTCATGCTGTATGTGGCCCATGTTTGGACTCGCTCCTTGTGGGCACTACCTTGGACTGTCCTACGTGTCATACCGAACTCAACCTCGACCAGCCATTAGATGCACTCAATCCTCCACTCTTCCTGCCTTCTATTCTTGAAATGGTATCTGCAGATGATGAGATTACAAACCCCCCACCTCCAACCAGTATGGTCAGTCCCAATGCACCTCATGTCAACAACCGGGAGCAGTTACCTCCAATATCGCTCTTACACAAGGAACTAGCAGTCAACAGTCGAAATTCCCTCTATCTATGTGCAAGTTGTGATGACAGGCAGGCTGCCACATCACGCTGTCGGGACTGTAATGATGCCCTCTGTGACAACTGTGTTCGTGCACATCAGCGTGTTCGCCTTACTAAAGATCACTTCATTGTTCGATTACCAAATGAAGATGGCAATAATGGTATTGGTAGCAGTGGTAATGGCAACTTAGGTGGAGTTCGCACACATTATCAAGAAGACAATTGTCATTCACCACACAGTCTGGCTTCGCCCCCTCCAGCAATTTCTTCACATAGTTCTCCACATCAGTCTGTTGTATATTGTAATATGCATGATGGAGAGGTGATTAGACTTTACTGTGAAATGTGCAATGCTGCCATCTGCAGAGAGTGCACTCTGCGCGATCATTGTGGCCATTCTTTTGTGTACTTGCAGGATGCTGCTGAGACATCTCGCTCTGTCACGATGAAGCTGCTGACTGAGGCTAGGACTGGAATTAGAGCTATTGAAGATAGTATTGGTGTAACAAAACGTATGGTGGATCATGTGGACCTTCGTGCTCAAGCTGTAGCCAGTGATGTTCGCACCACTACACGTCGTCACATATCAGCATTGGAAGATCGTGAGCGGAAGTTGTTGCACAAGGTGGAAAGAATTCGTCAGCTTAAAGGCAAAACTCTTCAAGACCAAATTGATGACCTCAGTACTGCCCTTGCAAGGCTTACACATACTGTTGATACCTTGGCTCTTCTGTGGATTCTGCTAATCATCTAGAGCTGCTTAAAACTCGGGACAAACTTATAGCAGAGATGAATGAACAGAGACAGATTAAAGCCCATCTTAACCCTTATGAAGATGATAACATTGTGTTCACTCCTCCTGATAATTCTCTCTACCAAGCCATCAGCACAATGGGTTTTATTTCTTCTTCAGGGTATGCTCTGAATTCAATTGCTGTAGGTACTGGACTGAAACGAGCATTAAGAGGTAAAGTAGCCACTTTTGTAGTGCATGGGAAAGACCATCTTGCAGACCAGAGGCATACTGGTGGTGATCAGGTAACAGTGATGGTTCATGGCCCTGATGGCATGTCTTCAGCGGCTGATGTTGAGGATCGCAAGAATGGCTCTTATTTGGTTAGCTACCAACCCCAGGTAGAAGGGCAGCACGTAATTGCTGTGCTTATGCGTGGAATGCACATACAAGGGTCTCCATTCACTGTACAAGTAAAAACTGGGAGAAATTATTCCTCAGTGGGAAATGTATTACTAACCATAGGTGGTGAAGGAGAAGAGGAGGGTCAGTTATGTCGGCCATGGGGAGTTTGCTCTGATAAAGATGGCTTTATCATCATTGCTGACCGCAGCAATAACCGAATACAAGTCTTCAGCCCAGATGGTACCTTCCACCATTCCTTTGGAACAGCTGGATCACGGCCAGGGCAGTTTGACAGGCCTGCCGGAGTGGCTGCAGATCACATGGGAAGGATTATTGTGGCCGATAAAGACAATCACCGCATCCAAGTCTTTACATTTGATGGGAATTTCTTGTTCAAGTTTGGTGAGAAGGGAAGCAAGAATGGGCAGTTCAACTATCCTTGGGATGTTGCTAGTAATCCAGAAGGCCACATTGTCGTTTCTGATACCCGAAATCACAGGATCCAACTCTTTCGACATGATGGCACTTTTTTGAATAAGTATGGATTTGAGGGTGCTCTGTGGAAACATTTTGATTCACCACGAGGTGTCTGCTTCAATCTTGAAGGTCACATTGTCGTCACAGATTTCAATAATCACCGACTACTTGTGATTCATCCCGATTTTCAGTCGGCAAGATTTCTTGGAAATGAAGGCATGGGAACTGGACAGTTTTTGAGACCACAGGGAGTGGCTGTTGATCAAGAAGGACATATAATTGTGGCAGATTCTAGAAACCACCGTATCCAAATATTCCACCCCAATGGCAGTTTCATGTGCATGTTTGGAATACCTGGCTCTTCACCTGGCCAACTTGACCGCCCCAGTGGAATCTGTGTCTCGCCAGATGGCTACATTATTGTAGTAGATTTTGGGAACAACCGAGTGCAGGTATTCTAATGACCCAGACTGGTGTAATTTTTAATGTTTTATATTTGATATACATCTGTCTGTGAGCTTTAGCGAGCAATGTTTTTTTTTTTAACTCGCCATAAGTGTCTTGCATACCAAGTATACAAAGTACAAAGTGAGAAAACAGCGTACAAATTCTACAGGTATATTGGTGTGTGTAGACTCTCCACAGTAGTTCACTTGTTAATGGAGAATGATACAGGGTATACTTTTATTGTCAGAGGCTTCAAACATTTGTAAATATACTTTAACAGTTTTATTTGGCTAGCTCAGAACAATAGGCTCTAGATTAGATGAATAAATGAAAAATAATTCTCTGGCCATTGAAAAGGATGGATAGCTTGATAGATGGATTTTAATGTGGTGCTCTCAATAGATTACCTCTGTGTTCCTTACCACAATATTTCTTGTGGTCTTAGAATAATATATACTAGTATATCTCAGAATGGTTACTCAGGGATCCATTTTTATTTTTTTTGGCTTATATTCATCATTCCAGACGTGTAAGTTAGCTTACTTATCGGAGGTCCTTGCATACTTGTGTGTACTTCTGCATGAACTCGCCTATTTGTGGTTTCAGGGGTTGAGTCTCAGCTCCTGGCCCAAGGTGTGTTTTGCACATGCACCCTTGTACAGGCATACATTGTAGTACTCATGAAATTTAGCAGTTGATTTAGGGCCCATGAGCACCAGGTCAAGGTTCCGCTGGTTGATGTTTGAAACTCAATATTATTAAATATTGTACTGTATTTCCATTGTAAAAAATCATTGCAGATCAGCATTTTTAATGCATTTTTAGTCTGTAGAGTATATTTTTAGCATCTGCAAAATGCCAAAATCAAACAGATTTCATAGAAATTTGAAATTGCAATTAAATTGTGTCAGAAATATCCAATATTATGTAAAAAATGCAGTAGTATTTAGAAAAATTTAGTAAGACAGTGTTCAGCATACCATGTATTTGGGCACATACAAGTAACTTTATTGTATATGCACCAGCAAGTAACCTTGGCCTGGCCAACAACCCCTCAGCAATGTTCAGTAACTTAACAACTCTGCATAACTACCTCACTCGTTAGGGTTAAGATGCAGCTATTATAAGCTTGTTATGTTGATAACATATACATACCATATCTTAACATGAAATTTGGTGCTGCTTACGCACATTTGGAGATAAAAATCTAATAGGCTGGTTAGTGCGCCTAGCGTTAGTGGTAAGTTTTCCTTACAAAAAATAAAACGGGTGTAGTATCATACAGTATCAATTAAGTTTGTTTTCACTTTAGATTGTGTCACTTTGTGACTATAATTAAGGTTTAGTGCACAGCCTTTTTTTTTTTTTCCAAGGAAATGCCTTGAAATGCTAAGTTAGTTGATCTTCATGATGGCAGGAGTTTAATAATTTGAGTATTGTGGAAAGGGCAGAATTCATGTGCCAGTACAGCTAGTAGTTAAAAATTGGTATTTGTAGACTGTTTGCAGTTACCACAGCCTCCCTCCCAGAGGACCACCTGGTTAGTGTGGCTGGTGGTGCCTGTTTGCAGTTACCACAGCCTTCCTCCCAGAGGACCACCTGGTTAGTGTGGCTGGTGGTGCCTGTTTGCAGTTACCACAGCCTCCCTCCCAGAGGACCACCTGGTTAGTGTGGCTGGTGGTGCCTGTTTGCAGTTACCACAGCCTCCCTCCCAAAGGGACCCCCTGGTTAGTGTGGCTGGGTGGTGCCTGTTTGCAGTTACCACAGACTTTCTTCCCGGGAACCACCTGGTTAGTGAGGCTGGTGGTGCCTGTTTGCAGTTAAACCACAGCCTTCCTTACAGAGAACCACTGGTTAGTGTGGCTGGTGGTGCCTGTTTGCAGTTACCACAGCCTTCCTTACAGAGAACCACCTGGTTAGTGTGGCTGGTGGTGCCTGTTTGCAGTTACCACAGCCTTCCTCCCAGAGGACCACCTGGTTAGTGTGGCTGGTGGTGCCTGTTTGCAGTTACCACAGCCTCCCTCCCAAAGGACCACCTGGTTAGTGTGGCTGGTGGTGCCTGTTTGCAGTTACCACAGACTTTCTTCCAGGGAACCACCTGGTTAGTGAGGCTGGTGGTGCCTGTTTGCAGTTACCACAGCCTTCCTTACAGAGAACCACCTGGTTAGTGTGGCTGGTGGTGCCTGTTTGCAGTTACCACAGCCTTCCTTACAGAGAACCACCTGGTTAGTGTGGCTGGTGGTGCCTGTTTGCAGTTACCACAGCCTTCCTCCCAGAGGACCACCTGGTTAGTGTGGCTGGTGGTGCCTGTTTGCAGTTACCACAGCCTCCCTCCCAGAGGACCACCTGGTTAGTGTGGCTGGTGGTGCCTGTTTGCAGTTACCACAGCCTTCCTTACAGAGAACCACTTGGTTAGTGTGGCTGGTGGTGCCTGTTTGCAGTTACCACAGCCTTTCTTCCAGGGAACCACCTGGTTAGTGAGGCTGGTGGTGCCTGTTTGCAGTTACCACAGCCTTTCTTCCAGGGAACCACCTGGTTAGTGAGGCGGTGGTGCCTGTTTTGCAGTTACCACAGCCTTCCTTACAGAGAACCACCTGGTTAGTGTGGCTGGTGGTGCCTGTTTGCAGTTACCACAGCCTTTCTTCCAGGGAACCACCTGGTTAGTGTGGCTGGTGGTGCCTGTTTGCAGTTACCACAGCCTTTCTTCCAGGGAACCACCTGGTTAGTGAGGCTGGTTAGTGAGGCTGGTGGTGCCTGTTTGCAGTTACCACAGCCTTTCTTCCAGGGAACCACCTGGTTAGTGAGGCTGGTGGTGCCTGTTTGCAGTTACCACAGCCTTTCTTCCAGGGAACCACCTGGTTAGTGAGGCTGGTGGTGCCTGTTTGCCATTACCACAGCCTCCCTCCCAGAGGACCACCTGGTTAGTGAGGCTGGTGGTGCCTGTTTGCCATTAGCACAGCCTCCCTCCCAGAGGACACACCTGGTTAGTGTGGTGGTGGTGCCTGTTTGCCATTAGCACAGCCTCCCTCCCAGAGGACCACCTGGTTAGTGTGGCTGTGTGGTGCCTGTTTGCCATTAACACAGCCTCCCTCCCAGAGGACCACCTGGTTAGTGTGGCTGGTGGTGCCTGTTTGCCATTAGCACAGCCTCCCTCCCAGAGGACCAACTGGTTAGTGTGGCTGGTGGTGCCTGTTTGCCATTAGCACAGCCTCCCTCCCAGAGGACCACCTGGTTAGTGTGGCTGGTGGTGCCTGTTTGCCATTAGCACAGCCTCCCTCCCAGAGGACCACCTGGTTAGTGTAGCTGGTGGTGCCTGTTTGCCATTACCACAGCCTCCCTCCCAGAGGACCACCTGGTTAGTGAGGCTGGTGGTGCCTGTTTGCAGTTACCACAGCCTCCCTCCCAGAGGACCACCTGGTTAGTGAGGCTGGTGGTGCCTGTTTGCCATTACCACAGCCTCCCTCCCAGAGGACCACCTGGTTAGTGAGGCTGGTGGTGCCTGTTTGCCATTACCACAGCCTCCCTCCCAGAGGACCACCTGGTTAGGGAGGCTGGTGGTGCCTGTTTGCCATTACCACAGCCTCCCTCCCAGAGGACCACCTGGTTAGTGAGGCTGGTGGTGCCTGTTTGCAGTTACCACAGCCTTTCTTACAGAGAACCACCTGGTTAGTGAGGCTGGTGGTGCCTGTTTGCAGTTACCACAGCCTCCCTCCCAGAGGACCACCTGGTTAGTGAGGCTGGTGGTGCCTGTTTGCCATTACCACAGCCTCCCTCCCAGAGGATCACCTGGTTAGTGTGGCTGGTGGTGCCTATTTGCCATTACCACAGCCTCCCCCCCAGATGACCACCTGGTTAGTGTGGCTGGTGGTGCCTGTTTGCCATTAGCACAGCCTCCCTCCCAGAGGACCACCTGGTTAGTGTGGCTGGTGGTGCCTGTTTGCCATTAGCACAGCTTCCCTCCCAGAGGACCACCTGGTTAGTGTGGCTGGTGGTGCGTGTTTGCCATTACCACAGCCTCCCTCCCAGAGGACCACCTGGTTAGTGAGGCTGGTGGTGCCTGTTTGCCATTAGCACAGCCTCCCTTCCAGAGGACCACCTGGTTAGTGTGGCTGGTGGTGCCTGTTTGCCATTACCACAGCCTCCCTCCCAGAGGACCACCTGGTTAGTGAGGCTGGTGGTACCTGTTTGCCATTAGCACAGCCTCCCTCCCAGAGGACCACCTGGTTAGTGTGGCTGGTGGTGCCTGTTTGCCATTACCACAGCCTCCCTCCCAGAGGATCACCTGGTTAGTGTGGCTGGTGGTGCCTATTTGCCATTACCACAGCCTCCCTCCCAGAGGACCACCTGGTTAGTGTGGCTGGTGGTGCCTGTTTGCCATTACCACAGCCTCCCTCCCAGAGGACCACCTGGTTAGTGAGGCTGGTGGTACCTGTTTGCCATTAGCACAGCCTCCCTCCCAGAGGACCACCTGGTTAGTGAGGCTGGTGGTGCCTGTTTTCCATTAGCACAGCCTCCCTCCCAGAGGACCACCTGGTTAGTGAGGCTGGTGGTGCCTGTTTGCCATTACCACAGCCTCCCTCCCAGAGGACCACCTAGTTAGTGAGGCTGGTGGTGCCTGTTTGCCATTAGCACAGCCTCCCTCCCAGAGGACCACCTGGTTAGTGAGGCTGGTGCTGCCTGTTTGCAGTTACCACAGCCTCCCTCCCAGAGGACCACCTGGTTAGTGAGGCTGGTGGTGCCTGTTTGCCATTACCACAGCCTCCCTCCCAGAGGACCACCTGGTTAGTGTGGCTGGTGGTGCCTGTTTGCCATTACCATAGCCTCCCTCCCAGAGGACCACCTGGTTAGTGAGGCTGGTGGTGCCTGTTTGCAGTTACCACAGCCTCCCTCCCAGAGGACCACCTGGTTAGTGTGGCTGGTGGTGCCTGTTTGCCATTAGCACAACCTCCCTCCCAGAGGACCACCTGGTTAGTGAGGCTGGTGGTGCCTATTTGCCATTACGACAGCCTCCCTCCCAGTGAACCACCTGGTTAGTGAGGCTGGTGATGCTTGCTGCATGCAGTTTGATGTAGAGCAATAGCAGCCTGGCTGCTCAGGAACTTTCTTCATCTAGGCAGAGACTAAGTATGAAACAGCACAGAATGATAGGGATTTTACAAGTGCTACTACTCATTTTCTCCTGTGAACAAATAGTACTGGGCACTTGTGGTTTAGATTATCTTTTCATGCAGGAAATCTTGCTTAGAAATTTATTGTATATTAATGGATATATTAAACATCTCTAGCTTTGAATTGGGAAAACCCACATGTAGATGGAGACACAATGTAGAAAAGTGTTTCTACATAATCTATGGATACGTTCAAAGTGAAAAGTTCAAACCATACCACGGGCGGGATTTGAACCCGCGGGTTCAAATCCCGCCCGTGGTATGGTTTGTTTGCAATCGTGTCATTACGATTTCGTGAGTCGTGAAAAATTCAATGACCAAACCGTATCCATATTATAAAACGTTCTGTGTGTTTGCTCACTTGTCCTTTTACCTACTTGTCAGTATATACAGTTATTATACACATTGTAGATTTTCACAATAGAGTCCAGTGGTAAATACCAACTGCTCTCTTGAAGCATGGTCAGTATTGTATATTGTATCTCAACTTCTTTTATTTCAGTTTTCCTTCATGTTTATAATTTTAATTATGCAAAACTTCATCTTATGTATAAATGACCTATAACATTTTCCTACTTTTAATTCCATACTGTGGTGGTTCACCATTAATCACTTACTAATTTGTGTAATACCGCATTTATAAATGAAAATAGGAAGACAACGGGTGTACAGAATATGGCATATGTAACATCGTTTGTTTGGCCCTTTAAAATTTTTATCCACACTTTTCAACAAGGTACGAACAATCCTTGTACTCACACGGTAACAGTTTATAAATTTTCTCCTAAAAGGTGGCAGTACTTCAAACATAAGAAGGTTTTAATCTATATTTATATGAGATGGGAAGATCAGTGTACTAGAGCATTGTAGCTCTCAAATTGTGTTTACTGTTTTTGTAACTTAGATGCAGCATTTGAGTCTTAAACGTGACCAAAAAAATACCATTTAGTATCTTAGTACCATTTGCTCTGCCTTATTATATGACCCATATTGGTTTAGCACTTCTTTTTTGGATATAATAATACATGTACTGTTCTTTATTTTAGGACAGTTTTTTCCTATTGATACTGTACCCTTCCAGTAACTTTTAATAAAAAAAACTGTTGGTAATGTAAATTGTAAAAACTGTTACCTCTTTCAACAAAGTCCATTCAGTTTTTCGAAGAAAAAAAATGGCAAGTGTACCAATTTCTTCAGTATCTAGTTCCAGAAATAAGATGTATGAGAAAATTGGTTTAGCTTTAGGTGTTTGGGACTCAAAAAAATGCCAGTTTTATTGTTTTATGTACTACTGGTAGTTTCAGAGAGAATGTATTTTGTATTAACAGTATTTGTGTTTTGGTGTAACTCTCATGAAGACTTCTTGTCATTTTTCATTTCTGACTAATAGCAGAACAAAAAGAGATGAATAAAGTTTGTTTTATGTATGAGTTTGAAGACTTGGTTGTGACTATAGGAATCTGTTTCATCAGCCGAGTAATCCTTAATTTAACAGTGTCATCCATGGTATAAAATCTTAGTGATTGA